CCCCCCCACACAGTGTTGCTTTGTTGCCCAGGCTGGAGTAAGGTGGTGGGATCCCGGCTCACTGCATTCTCCGCCTCTGGGGTTCAAGCGATTCTCCTACCTCAGTCTCCTGAGTAGCTGGGACTACAGGCATGTGCCACCATGCCCAGCTAATTTTTTTTTTTGTTTTTAGGAGAGACAGGGTTTCACCATGTTGGTCAGGCTGGTCACGAACTCCTGACCTCAAATGATCCGCCCGCCTTGGCCTCCCGAAGTGCTGGGATTACAGGCGTGAGCCATGGTGCCCGGTCCATTTTAACTATTTGTAACTATTATAATTCAGTAGAATTAATTACGTTCACAGTGCTGTGTACCCATCACTGTTATCTATACCCAAAACTGTTCATCATTGCCAACGTAAACTCCGTATTGTTAAAGAATGCCTCCCCCTTCCTCCTCCCTCTACCCCCATTCAACTGTCTATCAATTTGACTAGGTACTGCGTATAAGTGGAATCACAGTATTTGTCGATTTGTGACTGGCTTGTTTCACTAAGTAAAATGTTTTCAAGGTCTGTCCATATTGTAGCATATATTAACTTTATTCCTTTCTATGGGTGGGTAATATTCCATTGTGTGTGTATACCACATTTTGTTTATCCGTTCATTTGTAGACGGACCCTTGGGTTATTTCCGCTTCATGGCTGTCGTGAATACTGTGAGCATTGTTGTACAGATAAACGTTGGAGACCGTGCTTTCCATTATTCTGGATGTATACCTAGGAGTACAATTGCTGGCTCATATGGTAGTTCTGTTTCACGTTTTTAGGAACTGTCCGACTTTTCCATAGCAGCTACACCATTTTACATTCCTACCAGCAATGCTCAACGGTTCCAGTTTTTCCAGATCTTCATTAGCACTTGTTATTGTGCTTTTTATTGTAGCCATCCTAGTGACTGTGTTGTGACGTGATATCTCCATTGTGGTTCTGATTTGCATTTCTCTAGGAATTACTGATGTTGACCATATTTTCATGTGCTCATTGACCAATTGTATGTCTTCCTTGGGAAAATACTATCCATATCCTTTGCCCATTTTTTAAAATGGGTTTTTTGTTGTTGTAGGAGTTCTTTATATGTTCTAGATATTAATCCCTTATCTGGTATAGGTTGAGTATTCCTTATCCATAATGCTAGGATTCAGAAATGTTTTCGATTTCGGATTTTGGAATATTTGCATTTATACTTACCAGTTAAGCATTTGCCTACTTATTTATTCACTTAATAGAGTTGCCCAGGCTGGTCTTGAACTCCTGGGTTCAAGCGATCCTCCACCTTGGGCTCCCCCAGAGTGCTGGGATTACAGGTGTGAGCCACCATGCCCGACTCCAATTAAGCATTCTAAATCCAAAACTTTGAGATTCAGAATGCTTCAGTGAGCATTTTTTTTGAGCATCATGCCAGTGCTCAAAAAGTTTTGGGTTTTGGAGCATTTCAGATTTCAGATTTTTGGATTTCATATGCACAATCTGTAAATGATTTACAAATACTTTCTCCCATTCTGTGGGTTGCCTTTTTCACTCTTGATGATTTTCTTTGATGTACAAAATTTAAAAATTTTGAAGTCTAGTTTATCTATTTTTTTTTGTTTCCCCTCCTTTTGGTGTTATATCCAGGAAGGCATTGCCAAATCCAGTGTCAGGAAGACTTTCCCCAGCGTTTTCTTCTAAGATTGTTATAGAATCCTCAATTCAGGCTTGTATCCCCAGTGTGGAGCTGAGATCAAATACTGAGTCATCGGTACTTGGAGATAGAGAAAGGTTTATTTGATTTGGCTAAAGCAAGAAGGTGGGAGGAAAAGATCTCTTAAATCCATCTAAACAAAAGGAAGCAGTGGGTAGTTTTTAATGTGACTAGAGAGTAAGGGATGGGGAGTTTCACAGAATCTAGTGGAAAAGTCTGTGTTTTTTTAGTCTCAGATAATGCCTTCAGCAACCAGACATCTGGTTGTTAGCAGCTGGTAACAGTGTCCCTAAAGCCATTCATTTCTTCTGGCAACATTTTTCTTTACGTGACCCTGAAGTTACCTCTTTCTGCTTGACAAAGAAAAGCAGTACATCAACAGTTTATCTTTATATTGTTTGCAACAAGGAATATTTAGCAAAAAGTGAGTGATTAACATGTGCAAGCAAGCAAGGGCCTGATAAAAATTATTTATTTCAGTCATTAAAAAATGCTAGGGTGCTGAAATCTAGTTATCCCAGCACCATTTATTGAAAAGACCGTTCTTTCCCCTGTTGAATGGTCTTGACACCTTTGTTGAAAATTAATTGGCTATATATATGGAGGATTGCTTTCTGGGCTCTCTTGTAGACCACTGGTCTGTATGTCTCCTTGTCCTAATAGCGCACTGTTTTAATTCCGGTAACTTTGTAGCTTGAGTGGCTATTCAGACTGTTTTACAGCTCTTCTAGGGGGAGGAGTATGTCTGATTGCCTTTGCACTAGGGATTCCCTAAGCCAAACAGCTGCTTATGGGGAGGAGGGAATAGAAATTTATAGACTTATAAAGGATTTTTTGGCATTAAATCGGAGGTGTGTCAGTTCAGTATACTATAGGTTGGATTTGGGAGTGGTGGCATAAGAAGGACTTTTCTTCAAACTTCAAGATACTTATTTGTATTTAGTTTAGTCACCTTTCATTAATATATTAGCAGTGGCAAATCGATTTGTGTGTGCAGCAACCTTATTTCTTGCTTCCTCAGAAGAAAGAATTCCACCTAGGGGGGCATAAGGCAGAGTAAGAGACTAAGGTAAGCTTTAGAGCCAGAGTGGAAGTTTGTTAAAAAATTTTACAGCAGAAATGAAAGGAAGTAAAATACACTTGGAAGAGGACCAAGTGGGTGACTTGAGAGAGTCAAATGCATGGTTTGACCTGTTGTAACTGAGCGAGTTGTGGACAAACGCCACACTGTGAGACTAATTCAGGAGTCCTTTTATTGCCGGCCACCGAGAGACGGCTAGCGCTCAAAATTCTCTAGCCCCGAAGAAGGGGCTAGATTTCTGTTTATACCATGGGGGAGTTTAGCTGAAGCATTTTTTACAGAAGCAGAACAGGCAAAAAGTTAAAAAATTAATTGGTTACAGAAGCAGTTACAGAAAAATAAACAGTTCCAGGCGCAGGGACTCAGACTATCACAGAGAGATAAATGCAGGGGCTTCAGGTACCATCCAGCGAGCGCGTCCCCGGGAGCTGCTGATTGAACCTCAGTATCTTACCAGCAGGTGCGTTCCTGCAGTCAGCTTGCCCTCGCTGCGCCTTTCACGCGGGGAGGTAAGGTGGGCTGCAAGTGAAGGCACTGAAATGGAGTCTGTCGGGCTCTCTCAGCTGAGAGAGGCAATCCGGTTAAAGCAGACCTTTGACTTGGGTGGTCAGACGTTGGCGTGCTTCCCGGGGTTGCGTCTCTTCTCCTCTGATTCCCCCCTGGGGTGGGCAGTCCGCGTGTGCAGTGGCCCGCTCGTGCTTGGGAGGGCTGCGTGTGCGGTGTGTCTACTGGAGTTGTGCATATGCTCGCTTGAGGCCGCCTTCCCTTACCAGAATGTTCCTAGAAGGTCGTACATCGGCTGGGTGCCGCCATTTTGCCTCTTAGTGCGCATGCGTGAGCCGCTCGTCCGCTCGTCCGCCTCCTGCGGTCTCCCCAGGCGCTGCCGGTCGCCGGTGTCCGGGGTTTGTGTCTGTTCGGAGACTGCGTTCGCGGGCGTGGCTGCAGCCAGTGGTTAGTTCAGAGGAGAGTTTAACCACGGCCTGCCCGTCACCGCATGTTTGCTTGGTGTTCCTGGTGGGGTGGGGTCCTCTGCTGCCCTGCTGCTGTCTGACGACCCACTGTAACACATGCGTTGATTTTCTCAGCATCTGTGTTTGTGTTATTCAGTGGGGTCTGTAGACAAATGTTTGCTAAGGTGTTATCTTTGAAGTGTATGTAATATCATCCTTTTAATATTGAGACTCTTGTTTTTTGAGACGGAGTCTTGCTCTGTCGCCCCGGCTGGAGTGAGTGGCGCGATCTCAGCTCACTGCAAGCTCCACCCTCTGGGTTCCCGCCATTCTCCTGCCTCAGCCTCCCGAGGAGCTGGGACCACTGGAGCTCACCACCTCGCCTGGCTGATTTTTTTGTATTTTTTAGTAGAGACGGGGTTTCACAGTGTTGGCCAGGATGGTCTCGATCTTCTCACCTCGTGATCAGCCCGCCTCAGCCTCCCAAAGTGCTGGGATTACAGGCGTGAGCCCCCGCGCCTGGCCAATATTGAGACTCTTTAAGAGGCATTTTGGTAACCATAGACAGTAATCTGTTGATTTCTAAACTTTATTGACTTTTTTTTTTGAGACAGAGTCTCGCTCTGTCACCCAGGCTGGTGAGTGACGTGATCTCGGCTCACTGCAGCCTCCGCCTACCACATTCAAGCTATTCTACTGCCTTAGCCTCCCTAGTAGCTGGGATTGCAGGCTCCTGCCATCACGTCTGGCTAATTTGTATATTTTTAGTAGAGATGGGGTTTCACCATGTTGGCCAGGCAGGTCTTGAGCTCCTGACCTCAAGTGATCACCCACCGTAGCCTCCCAAAGTGCTGGGATTATAGGCGTGAACCACCGCACCTGGGCTTATTGATGTTTTTAGTAAGGTTTTATCTTATCTGTGTGCCTGAAGGTAACTTTTAAATGTGATGTTGGAATTTTACAGTGATCACAGAGCTTGCTTTCTACCGTTCTTTTGGTCTCTGTTAAATGCCTTCACTTAAAAGTGCGTGGTAGCTGCGTGCAGTGGCTCACACCTGTAATCCTAGCAACTCGGGAGGCTGAGGTGGGAGGATCGCTTGAGGCCAGAAGTTGGAGACCCATCTGTGCAACATAGTGAGACCCCCATCTCTTAAAAAAAAAAAAAGAAAAACTAGCTGGGCATGGGGGCAGGTGCCTGTCATCCCAGCTACTGGGAAAGCTGAGGCAAAAGGATCACTTGAGCCATGATCATGATACTGTATTCCAGCCTGGGTGACAGAGCAAGACCCCGTCCCTAAGAAAAAAAAAAGGAGAATAATAGTGGTCCAAATGGGATTAACAGAAAATTACTCTTGAGAGGAGAAATTGCATGCCTTCCTTAGTGTTTTTTTTGTCTCTCTTACTCTGATTCCTCCCTTGGGGTGGGCAGTCCGCGTGTGCAGTGGCCCACTCGTTGTTGTTGTTTTGTTGGTTTGTTTGTTTTTTTGGGACAGGGTCTTGCCCTGTCACCCAGTCTGGAGTACAGTGGTGCGATCTTGGCTCATTGCACCTTCTGCCACACTGGCTCAAGCAGTCCACCCACCTCAGCCTCCCGAATAGTTGGGGCCACAGGTGTGCACCACCACACCTGGCTATTTTTTTTTTTTTTTTTTAATTTTTAGTAGAGATGGTGTCTTGCCATGTTGCCCAGGCTGGTCTTGAACTCCGGAGCTCAAGCAATCTGCCTGCCTCGGTTTCCCAAAGTTTTGGGATTACAGGTGTGAGCCATCATGCTCAACTCATTTACTGTTAAAGGATCTAATGCCTGCAGCATGCTTTGTATGTCAAAACTACTTGTCTGAAAATTCTAACATTTTCTGTTTCTTGTGACCAGTCTGCTTAAGAGAGATTACTTATATATAAAGGGAGGCTTTTGGAGGTAGACTTTTTTTTTCATTAAAGGGAGTAATTAATTATAGCTAGCTAATTCGTTAGTGATTCCCAGCTATATATGTGGTATTTTGCCATGTACTTGTAGGAAATTGTGGCCCAGACACATATCCAAGCTCGTATACCTAGTGAATAACAGAGGAGTTTCTGTGTGATTCCACAGTCTGTGTGTCTTTCCCACTCTACCATGCTTTCTTTTTCTATGGAATTTAAATTGTTAATTTTTTTTTTTTTAGGTTAAAAGGACAACTCTGGTGGATAGCAGAACATCTGTTACTGATGTGAAGTTTGCTCCCAAGCACATGGGTCTTATGTTAGCAACCTGTTCGGCAGATGGTATAGTAAGAATATATGAGGCACCAGATGTTATGAATCTCAGCCAGTGGTCTTTGCAGCATGAGATCTCATGTAAGCTAAGCTGTAGTTGTATTTCTTGGAACCCTTCAAGGTAAGTTTACATGTTAAACCTCTGATAACATCCTAGTAAAATAAACTAGTAATTTTTTTTTTTTTTTTTTGTGAGACAGCTTCTCCCTCTGTCCCCCAGGCTGGAATGCAGTGGCGCAGTCTCGGCTCACTGCAAGCTCCGCCTCCCGAGTTGTTGTCATTCTCCTACCTCAGCCTCCCGAGCAGCTGGGACTACAGGTGCTCGCCACCACACCCGGTTAATTTTTTGTATTTTTAGTAGAGAAGGGGTTTCACCCTGTTAGCCAGGATGGTCTCTATCTCCTGACCTTGTGATCTGCCCGCCTCAGCCTCCCAAAGTGCTGTGATTACAGGTGTGAGCCACTGTGCCTGGCCCATAAACTAGTAATTTTTAAGGTAATAATTTGATAATTTATTCTCTCAAAAGTGCTTTTTCTCAAGATATATAGATTATATGTTCTCCGTTTTTCACCCAGCATGTCACTTGTCCCCGTTTCCACTCAGCAGAGGGAACCAGCATTGTAAATATGTTCATGTGAACCTTTTGGATGTTTTCTATGCATGTACAAATAACTAATGAAGTCATAAACAGACATATGCACACACGCCGAAATATTTACTAGCACAGGTAGACACAAAGCACACAGATGTTGAAACCCATACATTTGATTGATTGATTGATTGGTTGATTGAGACAGTGTTGCTCAGTTGCCCAGGCTGGAGTGCAGTGGCGCTGTCTTGGCTCACTGCAGCCTCCACCTCCTGAGTTCAAGCAATTCTCCTGCCTTAGCCTCCCAAGTAGCTAGAATTACAGGCATGCGCCACCACATCCGCCTAATTTTGCATTTTTAGTGGAGACCATGTTTCACCATGTTGGCCAGACTGATCACCTCAGGTGATCTGCCTACCTCAGCCTCCAAGAGTACTGGGATTACAGGCGTGAGCCACTGCACCCAGCCAGAAACCCTTACATTTTCCTTCCTTGCAATTAGCTTTTTTCACTTAAAGATACATTGTGGGCATTTTTCCATATATTAATATATCTAGTTCTACCTCATTTCTTTTTAACTGCCATATAGAGCATGATTGCATGTATATTATCATAGTTGCTTTTTATTAACCTATTTTTAAACAATTACAAGAATCACTTGGTAAAGAAAAGAATTGAAATAATCTGTAAGAATACAGAAAGAAAGGTAAAGTTCTTTTACCCCCTAAAAACAAATGCTGTTATTAGTTCTGTTTTCAGACTTTAATTCTGGTAGTCACTAGTATATTTTTAAAGGATTTACTTATACCTCTGGTTCTTGCTATGTTATCTTTTTTTTTTT